AGCGGTGAATGAGAAGAAGAGGGTAGGCGCAATATGTGAGACAGTACTCATGATGAATACGAGGAAGGGGACTTACATAATGAGACAGTACGTCTCCGTGCGTAAATGAGAACTAAGACGCAATATGTCGAGGCACAGTACTCATCGATGACATTGAGAAGCGGACTGTAATAGCTGAGACAGTCTCGTCGGAGTTCCAATGTGAATGAAAAGAAGACGCACATATGTGAGACGTAACTCATGCCATTGAAATGAGGAAGCGGGACTTAATATGTGCAGCAATACTCGTGGTGACCTGCAGGAAGAGAAGAGCGAATACGTGAGACAGTACTCATGCATGAATGAGGAAGGGGACTTAACATATGAGACAGTACTCGTGCGTGAATGAGAAAGAAGACGCAATATGTGAGACAGTACTCATGCATGAATGAGGAAGGGGACTTAACATATGAGACAGTACTCTGGTGCGTAAATGCAGAAAGAAGACGCATATGTGGACAGCTACTCATTGCATATGAATGAGGAAGGGGATTAATCATGTGAGACAGATACATCGTAGTGATAGAGAAAGAAGACGCGAAGTATGTATGAGACAAGTACTCATGCCTGAAGAGAAGGCGGACTTAATATGCTGCAGAACATGTACTCGTGTTGACATCGAGAAAGAAGATGGCAATACTGTGAGACCAAGTACTATGCATGACGATGAGCGAGGGCTACTTTGACACATACGAGACAGTACTCCCTGTGCAGCTTGAATGAGAAGAAGACGCAAATATGTGAGCCAGTACTCAATGCATGAACTGAGGCATAACGGGACTTAATATGTTGAGACGAGTCTCGTGCAGGCTGAAGTGAGAAGAAGCCACGCACATACGTGACAGACCAGTTACTCATGCAATGAATGAAGGAAGGGACATTACATATATGTAGACAGAATCATGGCGGAATGCAGAAGAAGCACTGCAATATGACCTGGAGACATACTCATGCCCATGAACTGGGAGGGGAGCTTGAATATGCTGAGACAGTACTCAGTTGACATGAAAAGAAGCAACGCAATAGTAGAGACAGTACTTACATGCATGAATGAGGAAGGCGACTTAATATGATGAGACAGTACTGTGCGTGGAATAGAAGAAGAGGGCATTCACGCACGAGTACTGTCTCACATGTTATGTCCCTTTCCACATTCACACACTATTAGTGTCTCACGTGCAATGTCTTCCCTCACTCATACCTAGGTGCTGTCTCACGCATTGTCTTCCCTCATTCACACGTAGGTGTTGTCTCACGTGTTATGTGTGGCCTTCCTTAATTGCGCATAGATGGTTATAGTTGGCCAACCTCTTAGTCGTAGCAGGTGCTTCCACAGGCACTGCATTCGATTCCGATAAACAGACGAACGTCTCTCTCGTTGCAAGCACTGAACAGGCCTCGCCGCGCCACGATTCCGATAAACAGACCAACGTCTCTCTCGTTGCAAGCACTGAACAGGCCTCGCCGTGCCACGATTCCGATAAAGAGACGAACGTACATCTCTGTCATTGCAGGCGCTGCGTGAGCGTGCGCCGCCACACCACGATTGTGATAAACAGATGAACGTCTCTCTCAATAAACAGACAAACGTCTCTGTTGTAGCAGGCACTGGGCCGCTCGCGATTCTGATAAACAGACGAACATCTCTGTCGTTGCAGGCGCTGCGTGAGCGGGCTGGCGGCGAATGAGAGCGCCATCCGGCAGCAGCTCGACAACTCGCTCATGCTCGTCACGGCGCTCAACCCACACATCGGCTACGAACGCGGAGCGGCGATCGCGCATCTTGCCTTCGCCGAGCGGCTGACCCTGCGCTCCGCCGCGCTCCGCCTCGGCGACCTCACCGCAGACGAGTTCGACCGCTGGGTGCGCCCCGAGGACATGCTCGGACCGAAGTAGGTGGCGCCGCCGGGACCGCCATGATGCGGAACGCATCGCGGGAGGCACGCGCGAGCGATTGTCCAGTGCGGAGTGTTAGCTAGGGATGGTTTTTTTCGCGGAGCTGTCGTCAGAAACGAAATTGGTGTTGCCGTTCATCGCAACATTGACTTTTTTGCTCGTAGAGCGCCGACAGAACGTTGTTTCGTGTAGGTAATAGGTTTGCTAGGTGTTTTTCTTACGGTAACTCTACAATGTTTCTGGGGTCAGTCTAAGAGTAAAAGTCAATGTTGAGACTAATGTTGAGAGTAGTTTTGTTTCTGACGATGTGCCCCTGGTATACGGATCTATTTTCGGGTAGGCGAATTGAAGAAATTCGCGTGGTGAGCTGGTAAGCTGCCTTTTTTTTCAAGGAAGAGTGCTAGTATTTGCACACGACACGCCACTAGTCAGTGCGCAGTCAATAGGCGAACCATTTTCTAGCAGTTTAGATATTTTTGTATCCAGTTTGTGAAGTCTTTTTCTAAGGTTCCCCATTGTCGCACATCACGTGCAAGCCAGCGTGACTGGTAGTGCAAGAATGTATTCATGGTGTGTTGACTTTTTCTACCTAAATGAAATTGAGGAGACCCGTTGGGCTACCTTTTTTCTTGGAACCCATTGAGGTTTGAGTTGTCCACATAGACGTTTACTGTCTGGATACTTTACGGAAAAATGCAGCTGCATGATTCCTTACATAAAATAAGCTTAGCAGACCGTAATTGCATATGCTTTAATAGCACAAATCATGTCAAATTTACAAAATTGATAGATGGAGCATTTTTTATGGCATATTTTTAGCTCATCTGACATAGTCAGATGCAGCTTGTAGAATCGCATGATCGTCCGTCCGTCCGTCCGTCCGTCCGAGCGTCCGTCAACAGTTGGGCACAAATCTTAACCGCTCGACGTACGGTCACGATATTCGGCACACTGCGGGGGATCGTCAAAACGAGTGGGGCTGTCGAAGCTGGGGGTCAAAGGTCAAAGGTCAAGAGGTGTAAAAGAAGGGGGAACAGTTCACTCCTTAACTTAAGGTATAGGGAGGAAATGCAGAATTGCGGCACAAATCTAAACGGCTTGACCTAGGCTCGTGATAGTCGGTGTATAGCATCATGGTAGGAAGAGCCATCACTGTGCCTGGAATATTGAGGTGCAGAGGTCGAAAGTCAATGGGGGCAACAGGCAGAGTTTTGTAGTGGACAATTTGTCTGAGGACTGAATGCTGCGGAGCAGATTGAAGAAACTGTTTTGTGTGTACAGCGGTGACGCGTGCATTTGTTTATTGCTTAATTGCGAAAGGACGCGATGTGAAATGATGGGCGGGTTTTCCTACTACATGCATAGTAGTTAATTGTGCTCGGATTAACCTTGTTGACCCTCTAAGAGTAGGGTTTAAACATTTGATTTTTTGACGTGGTTAACATTAAGGACTTTGAACGTGCTTTTTGCTTATTGATGTAAGAGCTCATACCTGGTCGAAGTGTGAGCTATCAGTTGCAGCAGTTTAGATTGCAAATGGAATATGTTTTGGTTGATATCTAATGGTTTTTAATCGCGTCCGTTAATATTCTATTATTGATTTTTCTGACTATGCTGGATTCTTGTTCTATGATGTCATCGCCTTGCCTTTTTCCATAGAAGCTGATGATCAGTGAATGCTCGCATGAGGCAAAAACACAGGCAGCCCATGGCTGGCACGCTTCTAATCAATAATTGTTGCCTGCCAACCACTGCAATGCACCTGTTAATCACAGCTGAGCAAAATTATCGCTTGTCTGAATATACTTACTTGGATTTTAGCCTGTACCTATGTAGGATTTCAGGAACGATGCCGATCTTTGATTATTGATACACTTGCACGCGCCATCTCGCGGCAACTATAGGCCTAGTTTAAATTAGATTTTGATTATTGAGCATTATTTGAGCATTATTGAGGGGCAGTAAAATGCATCATCGCTGGTTTTAATTTTTTTTTATATAATTAAGAGAGAGAGAGAAAGTCTAATGGCCCTGTCACACATTTGACGAATTAGCCAGCGTATGCCGGACGTATCAAAATTTGGTGAATAGTCTGGCGTACGTCGAATAAGTTATGGTAAGCGTTGTATAGATTAAGAGCAACGCTAAAGCACGCGAAGCACGCTAACACGCTAGTATATCGTCGTAGTACGGCGCGGTAGTCGAAAAATTTTGAGCATGCTTCAAAATTTGCCGACGTAGTGCCAGCGTATGCCCATACGTCCCGCATACGCGCGGGCAAAAGTTGTAGGTAAGTATGCGATCGTTGACACACGTTCACACACGTTACCTGTAAGTTATCATAAGTCGAAAATACGTCGAGATAATGTCTAGCGTACGCCAAAACTGTAATTTTAACTTATGAGTAACGTGCTTTGAACTAATGTGTAACTTATCTCCAACGCATATTGACGCTGTAGAGCGTATTTGACGTGTTCCGGACGACCACAGAACTTACTGAACGTGTTTTCTAACTTACAGCTACCGTATAATGCGCGTATTGGCAGCGTTTAGGGGAATTGGTATATAAAAATGGTATTGGCATGTTGATACTGCGACGGTGATCGTTGATACTTCGATGTCCTAGTGGGTTATGATTTGAATCGTCGAGGGCAGCCTTTTTATAGGCTACGAACGTGATCGTCGGCGATACGCTGTCGCGCGCTATGCATAAGGTTAGACTATCGTTGGCATAAGTTGTGAACGCCGGCAACACGCTAAGCATTCGTTGGTAATAAGTTAATCTATAAGTTATCGAAACGTCTATATACCGTTTACTAATATAAAA